ATAACGTTGATTGCATCCTTTCAACAAATTCAGCTGCTGACGTGGTTCGTGTTTCTATTTCATTTGAACGGCATACACGATGCAACATATACTGTTGTTATTTTCCACAATGTCGAATTCATAAAGATGTGTTGTCAAACTTTTATGAACATATCTCTGATGAAGTTCTCTCTTACCCTGATGACTACTTCATTATATTAGGAGATTTTAACATACCTAACGCTTTCTGGTCGAATAATAGTAATACTGATGTGTGTGATACAGTTAATGAACTTAGAAAAGTTAATAGTCCAAATCATAATACTCAGATTTCTACCTCGGCTCACTCGATCAGTATAAATTCGGTCACTTTTACAGTCCCTCAAGTTCTATGTATTTGAAACGCTTGGCTGTCAGTAAGGGACCAAGACCTAATAGCATTCCACCCTTGTTTTTACAAAGATGTTACCGTCAATTAGCTAAGCCATTAGCAATTTTATTTATCGAGCGAATTCTAAGACAGTTTGACAATATCTAAAAATGAAATATAACTTATATATAGTTGAAAACAACAGGAAATAAAGGCTGTTGTATAACTTATTCTCATGAATGTCAGCATAATTTGTTCTAGAACGTTTCATTATGTGTTTTGCAATATTTAATACACGTGTAAAGTTAATTCTTAGTCAACCCCTTCAACTTGTTGCTATGCTTTGCTTTGGGCTGACAAAGCCTATATATATCTACAGAATGAGTATCCTTAACTCGCGCCTTTTGTTAGTAAACTGAACTGTTTATAACCTTCGCGCAAATGCAACTAACAAGTTGACAAAGATTTTACCGCAGTCTAATAAACGGTATGGCAGCGCATAAAATACGAACAAACAAACGTCATATTTTACTTATGCGTTAATTGCAACCCAACACAAGTATGTCTCATACGGGTCATATTTGCCGTAGTGGCCACGCTTGGCAAATGGTTTACCAGGTAACAAATAGTTTTTAATTATAGTGAGTTGTTATCCGGAAAACACTATTGACTATCTCCTAGTTAATTTCCCTCTGTCACATTTTACTAAGCCTAAGACTGCGATGAGCGGCATTGGATTCTTTCACACTGCCAATAAACGACAACTTCGCTCACTCTTTTAAATTTATTTAACTTTTTGTAAAAATGCGACAATTACACACCCTTTAACCTACTTCTCGATTTCGAACTAAAGCAAACTTTCTCGAAGTCTGAGAATAGATGTTTGATCAGCACTTGAACAGTTGAGCCGGATATTGCAACTATTAGTGGCAAAGTGCGCTCTGCTTGGATTTCTGACGTCGATTTACGATAACAATGGATATATTTTCAATTGTTGCTTTTGTGCGAAATAAATAAATATTCAGCACATTATACTGCGTTTTAATCATTTTCAATTTCAATTTACTTCATGGAGTATTTATTTCAAAATTTTATGAATATTTCGGGAATGACTTAATTTCCAACTCTTAATTCCATCATCGGACCATCAGACACTCGGCTGGTCTTCGCCCCTTTGTTGATTACATATCACCAATTTAAACTAAACAGTTTCCTTCGTCGTTTATAATGCGTACAACAAAGGAGTAGAGTTTTTTAAAACACGATTTGCCGCGATATTCTTGCGTGATTTATTTTGATTTTATAATGTTGCCTAAACGAAATGTATAGGACATTTCGTTTAGGTAACATTCAACAATATCAGTAATGTAAAGACTAAATATTAACTAAATAAAATCCTTGTCCTTATGCAAAGATACGTTGGACGAGAAGTTATCATCCTACTAATAGTAACATAAAATGCGTGAAAATATTCTCAAGATTTATTTTAATTTTGTTAAGAATACATGAGTTATAGTTACGACTTTTACTTTTTTTTGAATATATTGGTAAGAAATACAATTCGATAGTACATTTTACAAGCAATCAAACATCCAAATAAATTTTCACATTAATATTGGGAGAATTAGTAGGATTGAGAAGTACTTGTTGGATATATTTTTAAAACCAACTTAAACAACAAGAAATCATTTTTATTCAACATATATTATTACATAATATTTATTGTAAGTCATTTTTCTATTTACCACTGCTTCGGAAAATATTTCTGACATGGGAAGAACCAGTAAAAAACCCAATGGGACTTTTTTCTAAACATATTTCACTTATCATCATTTTGTCTGTACAATTTTTAAATGAAATTTAATAGAGCCTCCATTGTGGCGATCACCTCACTCCCAGGGGTTATTTTCATTTATGTATTCTTTGATATTATAATAACCCTTTTTATACAATTTTTCTTAAGTAAAACATTTCACAAGCGTGTATACATTGCCCCTTATATTATGGATTACTAATTCTATGGAGTCTAGTAACTGATATTACAAGGTTATAAATCGCCCGTACGGCTCTCTTTTGCAAAAGAAATATGGCTTCAATGTCAGTCGCATTACCCCATAGCAAAATTCTTATAACTGTCTCAACATTGGTGAGACTTCTAATCTTTCTTACTGCATATGCTGCAGAACTAAGTCTGCCGGTTAATTTAGATTTATGGGGGCCCCATTGAAGCTTCGCGTCAAGAAAAACAGTGGTATCCACAAGACTCAACTCCTCCCCATTTAAGATAACATTGGTATTTGAATGTTTGACATTAGGTATTGTAAATTTAATACATTTTATCTTATTGCCGTTTAAGAGCAAATTGGCGTTAAATCAATGTACTCATTTCGATAGAGTATTATTTACATTGTCAAAGCCAATTGATTGATTGTCGTTTGAGTTTGAAAATTAAAGAGATTTTGAATTGAAATAAAAATTCACTGTACACATTGATACGAGACTATCCTGTTGTATGGAGGTTGTTCGCAAATCATCACAGACGTTTGTACGTGGTAGAGCCACACTGCAGCTATATTATAGTTGTGGCACGAATGGGTTGGCTCGACCGGGGAAGGATCACGCTATCACGGAATACCAGCGTAAAATAGCAGCCTAATGTTACTGTGTTTCGTATTGTATTGTAGTGTAGAAACAGAAACAGAAACAGAAACTTTTTTTATTCAATGTAGATTATAATAATACTTATTGAAAGTCACTTTTTTAATTAACCACTGGTTCGCAAAAAAATCTCTGACCTGGGAAGAACCAGCAAGAAACCCAGCGGGACTATTTTAAAAAAAAATAATATCTTACAATCATGTTTACAATTAACAACACAAGACAAATTAGAAATAGCTTGGTAGCGATCACTCTTCCCAGGGGTTATTATCATCCAAAAATTCATTTATATTATAATAACCCTTTTTATACAAACTTAGCTTAATATCATTTTTGAACTTTGTGTATGACAAATTTTGTATATTTTCTGGGATTTTGTTGTAAAAGCGTATACATAGCCCCAAGAATGAATTACTGACTCGGTGGAGTCGAGTAACTGGTACTACTAGATTGTGTCTGCTCCTAGTATTTACAGAATAAATATCACTTATTTTCGCAAAACTACTTTTATTTTTGTGTACGTACATTACATTTTCATAAATGTATTGAGAGGCCAGAGTTAATATATTGATTTCCTTAAATTTTTGTCTCAGTGAGAGTTTTAAATTATATATTGCTCTAATGGCCCTCTCCTGTAAAATAAATATAATTTCAGTGTCAGTCGCGTGTCCCCATAGCAAAACACCATACCACATAATGCTATGGAAATAACTAAAGTAAACTATTCTAGCTGTTTCAACACTGGTAAGAGTTCTAATCTTTTTTACAGCATATGCTGCAGAACTAAGTCTGCTAGCTAGTTTGATATATGGGGGAGCCGTTGAAGCTTTGCGTTCAGTGTGATTTTTTTTAAAAACGTTACCCCTTACGTTAAAACGTTACCCCTACACTAAGATTTTCTCTTTTATCGTAGGGGCAATTTAAAAACATAAATGGCACAAGGACAAACATCCAGACCCGGAACAACTATTTGTAGGCCATACTATATTTGTTCCGTGCGGGATTCGAACCCGCAACCCCCAGCGCAGCCACTCATTGCTAAGCCACTGCGCCACGGAGTCGTCAATTCTCCGAATTCTTCTTCGGATTCCAAGCAAAATGGTGGTATCAACAAGACTCAGTTCCTCCCCATTTAAAATTACATTAGTATTGACATGTTTAACATTAGGAGTGACGAAATTCATACATTTAGTTTTAGTTCCATTCAAATGCAAATTATTAACATTAAACCAATTGACTAACTTAGCTATAGCATTATTTACTTCGTCGTAATTTAATAACTGTTTTAATTTGAAATTTAATGAAGTATCATCTGGTTATCCCCTACTATGTAAGGTAAGTCATTAATATATACAAGAAACAAAAAGGGGCCGATAATTGAGCCCTGAGGCACGCCCATTTGTACAATCGACCTGGAAGATCTCATACTATTGATGACAACTTTTTGCGTTCTGTCACTTAAATATGAAATAATTAATTTAAGAGCATCGCTTCTTACACCGTAGTGTTGAAGTTTCCTGATTAAAGTTTCATGGTGAACACAATCGAAGGCTTTGGATGGGTCACAGAATACACCCAAAGCATCTTGTGAATTCTCCCATGCATTAAATATATATTTAATCAGCTCAACACCAGCATCAGTTGTGACCAGCATCAGAGAACCGGAGATCCTTTTTACTGGAAACGAGGCATTCCATCTTAGTCCTTAGGGAAGACTACGCGCCTGATTGATTCTTAACTGAGGGTAGATGTGGATCTCTATGGGCTCCTGAAACCACTTGGATTGTGTACTCGTTTATCACCTATATACTATAAAAAAAAATCCGTCCATGATCTATCGAAATAATATTCAACGTTAACATTGTTCTTGGACAATACTTTTCTTTTCACTGATGTCGATTTGTCACATTTTTTTATAAAAAGTAGTCAATATTAAGAAATATATTTAAAAAAGTTAATTATAGTAGGTAAGTATATCCGTAAATTTTTACAGGTGTTCTGACAGCAGTCAAGAGTTATACAGCTCTCAAACGAGCTCAGAACAGACTTCGCCGATACGCACGGCAGCGCGTTGCAGACGCCCAGAGTCCCCACCACCGATCCGAAGTCATCATCAGCTGCTTTACGTGCCGTACAACAATCATTACCACTACCAACACGACTACCCTGCCCAGTGGGCCGCCAATGATTGTAAGTGATTTCTTACATTATTTGTTTGTTATTTTAGTTGTTTCGTTAGTGTTTATTGACTAACAAACTTTTATTAATTATTACGTGAAATAATAAAATGGCTTTTATTGCTGCTATTTATTGTGGGACTTGTAGCTTAAAACTAAGACATTATTGCTGGCAAGTGGATCTTTAAAGATGACATTCCATAAAAAATATTTTCATTAAGTAAGTATAGATTGTTACATATTCACTAAATCTTAATTCTAATAGTATTATATTTAATATAATATAATGTTTACCTTGTAGTGAAGGTGTTAGAATATCCACTACCCCATATAATCCCGTGGGCGCCAAAAGCAGATTTTTCACGCTTTATATGGACTGTTTGGTCGGCCCGCGCGCTATTTAATCGCACAATATTTATTTGAAGTTTCTTTTTAAAATTATATATACTCTTTTATTGAAAATAAATCCATAATTCACTCACGTATTTACCGGTGAACACATAGCATGAATTTAATTGAAATTGATTTCATTACATTCGAATGAAACAGCTTTTTCACTTAGTGGACGTACCTAAAATTGTAGATTTTGAGGAAACTTTTCGATCTTTTTCTATCGAGCCAAAATGTGTTAATCCTGTTTTGGCCAACATAATTCACTAAGAAAAAGCTTTAACTTTTATAATGAATTTAAAAAAAATGTGGATTCGTAGTTTTAATGACATAAAAATTGCTTTTCAGCGCACCTATAAAGCGTGAAAAATCTGCTTTTGGCGCCCACATCACCTTAATAATGACTAAAAATAAAAAACCACTGGTTTGCCAAGCGTGGCAACTGTAGCATATATACCCCCCTATAAGACAATCCGTGGGGAGGCTTATGTTCAGCACTGAACTTTACGATAATGTTTATACAAAGTAGTTTTTGTTATCAGAAGTGAATTTCCGATGTTATCTTCGGTACCACTAGGTGGAATAATGGAACTTTTTAATCTTCCACCACAAATTTATTGCTAATTCTTTTTTTACTATTTTCTACCATTCATCGTCATTTTGCGGCGTTCCTAGATAGGCGGCTCATATACCACGACCTCTGGTTTCACGTATTCAGTTACCCTTGCGGAAGTCATCGCTCCATCTACTAGGGCACGCTCATATTATATTTTTCTAAACGCAGGAAATAAAAAATTCATAAAACAATAGAAATTATAAATATTATATCAGTTTACAATTACCTCTGATAGAATGTTTGATTATATAATGGATAATTAAAACGTAATTCCAATACATAGACTACTTTAATATAAAGTAAATATGAAGTGCACTTTGAGCTAACTTTTTAGCATTATTATAATATTATGTGGTATGCAAGATGATGTTGTGACCAGGATTAAGAAAGGAATGCTTCGGTGGTTTGGTCACGTAGAAAGAATGAATGAAGAAAGAGTGACAAAGCAAATTTATATGGCAGATGTGAATGGCCGAGTCGGGAAGGGACGCCCTAGGAAAAAGTTTATCGACCAAATTGGCGATATTTTGAAAATGGGCCACGTTAGAAGTACCCTTAACCGACGAGCATGTATGCGTAGATATATGGATGTAAAGGAGGCGAAAGAGGTATGTCAGGATCGTGCCAAATGGAAGTCCGTAGTCTCTGCCTACCCCTCTGGGTGACAGGCGTGAGTGTTTATGTTATATGTTATGTTAAGCGCTACAAAAAGTCTCATTTTTAACGTAAAAAGTATTGTTTAAGCCATAACGTCTATCCTAGACAGACACATTAGTTATCTTCACATGACAATTACTTTCGCTTAATAGCAATTTAAAAGCCTACTATAATTTTTAATGAATGAAATGAATGTTACAACGGTTCTTAGCTTTTTATTTTAATTTACCTCATCATTTATCATTGCAGCCCTTCACAAGTCAACTGCTGAACATAGGCCTCCCCAAGATTTGCCACAAAGCACGGACTTAAGCCACCTGCATCCATTGACATCCTGTATGTCTTACTAGATCGTCGCTCTATCTAGTGGATGGTCGCCCTACACTTCGTCTACCGGTACGAGGCTGCCACTCAAATAAAACCTTTTTCCCCGTCGGTTGTCGGTTCTTCGAGCTATATGGCCGGCCCATTGCTACTTCAGCTTACTAATCCGTTGGGCTATGTCGGTCACTCTGGTTCTGGTCAATTTACATGGTATCAAATCGTATTTATTTTTGGCTTTAAAGTAATAGGTATACGTTAGTAACTACATAATGTTATGTCCTTTAAAATAGGTTTTTCCCATAAAAAATATTGATATATTATGATGGTTAGGAAGAATATAATGATGATAATTCTACCTAACGATTATACGTTTGACGAAAACCTTCGAATTCAACTACAATATCGAAGGTTTCTAAATGTAATAGTCTAAAAATGTAGTTCTTCAAGCTACTTTGAGCGTTATCCATTATTTTTATACGTGGTAGAGCCATGCTGCAGTTATATTAGTAGTATAGTTGTTGCACAAATGGGCCGGCTAGACCGCGGAAGGACCACGCTCTCACAGAATACCAGCGTAAAATAGTGGCTTAATGCTGCTGTGTTTCGTATAGTGAGTGTAGAAAACCGGAGACCCTTTTTACTAGAAACGAGGCATTCCATCCTAGTCTTCACGGTTGACAACGCATCTTCATTTTGATTTGTAATCGAGGATGGATGTAGATGTCTATGGGCCGCAGCAACCACTTACCATCAGGTGGACTGTGTGCTCGTTTGTCACCCTATCCTATAAAAAATAAATAAATAAATAATCATAAGATTAATTTGTACATATTAAACATAATATGATTATAAGGATTCAGTTCAGGCTTCTCTAGATTTCTCTTTCTGATCACAAAGACAAGTTGTTCTAGATGAACGCAATAGGGACCGTAATAACAATAATAATTTTCACCGTCTTATTTCAAACTGTACGTATGAAGTTTATAATAAGTCTTAGGTTTAAACTAGAGTCTGTTTAAGATCTCTGTCTAAACATTCTGTTTAAAAATGTAAAGTATGAAATTTTAGAAGCCGCGGCTAAGGGACTTCTTTCATGGCAAAGGTGACAAAGGCCGGTTTATAGAGGCAACCTCGAGATTAAACTGAGATAAAACTCAAACTTTCCAAAGTCGAAATTTGTATAACATACTACGGCCTATAAAATGTATGTTATGTATGACAAGCTTGTGAAAATAAACTCTGTTCATGTGGTCGGACACTGCAAAAACCATCGCAGAAGAACATCCTTTGCAATCGCACTCTTAAAACACTATTAATATTACATAACATTGAAACATACAATATTCTAAAACTATACCAAAAAAAAAAACTAAAACTAAATGATTATATAGTGTTATCCTGCCCAGAACGCTGGCTGCGTTTCCTCGCTGAATAGCTATACTAAGCCTTTGAGCGAGGAAATAACTAGCCCTCTTATCACCAGCAGCGACGAGCAGCCGTGGATACAGTTCCTTTAGGAACTTCACTGCACGTGGACCCCACGAACCGATAGTATCTACAGCAAATGGTAAAAATATGTAGTCATCTCTCAGAGACACATATTTGCGCCATTTACCCAGTTCAGCTGCCTCTGATGCCGCCCCGGCAGGTACCCAGAGATGAGAGGCTACCAAAGTGTCCACGCAAGTAGCATCTCACACTAGGAGTTTACCTCTCTCCCAATGGACCATTTTCATACCGTCGAGTCTAAAGCCATCGTCTCTAAATATTTCACAAGACTCTAAAACCAAGGGAACATTTATTGAGACAAGAGGTGACGATTCCGTCAGGACCACTCGACTTGTTGACATCCAGGGACAGGAGTGCTTTGCGAGTCGAGCGCTGCGTAAACCGGACAGCATGGAGCACTCACACCGCGGAATGGTTGGTGTAGTGTGTTCCTCCCTGTCATCGAGAGTCGAGTGGGACGCAACGAAAGAGCCTCACAGATCGGCTTTCTACTTTGCGGCATGCGGCATGGGCAACAGTCGTCCTCTCTGTACAGAGATGGGAGAGATGGCTGACAGAAGTTCCCTTGGAAAGTCTTGGCCAGAATGCACGGGTCCCCGAAGTAAGTCGAACTAGTTTGTCGCCAACTCTGCCGATGTGCTCTGACTTTGCCTTGGCAATAACTTTTTTGAAGAGTCTGCTGGTGCTACTACGCTACCGAGCCTTTAAACTTTTGTTTTCTAAGTGCTCTTTTGGTCTTTTAAATTCTTGTTACAAAACGGCTACTGCGTAGCTCTACGTGTTCTGTTAGGATCTTGGCTATTTACTTACTGCTCAATACCTACCTATATTATTTTGCAACATCATATTAATAGTTTTAACACTTCAAACTAAGCGATAAAAACTTTTTTTAACGTAGAATGTGCATCATAATGTGAAATTTTAACTAATCTTGAGGACTAAATAGACCCCCATCCGTTTTCAGACAACCGACAGGTGCACTCGTACTATCAACAACAATCACGCAGTGGGTCCAGCACACCACAACCGAGCACCGCCCACCAACAACGAGTACATTATAGTCACGCCCTTCAAATGCAGGTAAGAGTTTAGTATTACATATTATATTAAATGTGGTGGAACTACACTGCAGCTATATTGTGGCTGTAGCACGAATAGGTAGTCTCGACCGGAGTACGACCAAGTTTTCACAGAATACCAGCGTGAAATACTGCGCTCTACTCCACTCTACTTACTATTTTAAGCTTGTAGCGGCGCTGTCGTCGCGCCGTAAGTGAAACACACCGAAGCCTAAATCACGCTATCAAAATTCCGAATCGTAAACAGTATATATAGAACATCTCCGAATTATCACATGGAGTTTTGGCCGCTCCCCGGGCAGAACACCTTGCCCGGTGGGAGATCTCCCCTTTTCCTTCCACGGCCACAGTGGTGACCCCGACGTGATCTGAACACGCAACCAGCAACCTTCGGAAACTTCAAGCTACATCATCGTCATTGAATACCCCACCCATTCGCTCCCGAGCAGATATCGTCTGCAGTCTTCATATCCTGCAAGCCATCTAGCTTCACAAGGTTCATTGCAGCACTGGAATAATAATGCTTCCTGTTCCTTCAAGCTACTCTCTGCGCTACAGTGTTCGGCACGGCTCTGAGCCTTACTGCTCGCCTCTGCTTTACGGCACTCTCGCAGATTACTTGCCTTCTTCTCGACTCAACGCAGACTACAGGGCAATCCACTGGCACTTGTACATTCGTCGACAACCAGACTGCACTATCGACCTCCGGTCTGAGCAGGGGGTGATGCAGCGGAGCTGTCGTCGCGCCGCAAGTGAAACACACCGAAGCCTAAATCACGCTATCAACATTCCGAATCGTAAACAGTATATATATAGAACATCTCCGAATTATCACATGGAGTGTTCGCCTATATAAAAACGACACCTTAATAAAAGGATTACATATCAAATTGAGCAACTTTTAAAACGGTTAAGGTATAGTAGATTAGAAGAAAAAAAGGAATGTTGAAAAATAAATACAATTTGAAAACACTTCACCTGAAGTTCCACCACACACCACAAGTCCCACCGAAATAAGAATTAATTTTGTTTAGAAAAATATGAACGTTTATTTACCACAACCTAAGTCCACTTGATTGTGACTACATCAACCCGTAGACACCTGTAGCCAAGTTTAAACAAAGCATGCTCGAATGCATTACCACCTGTGTAGACTAAGTCGAAATACCTCACAGCATGTAATTAATGGCTCTTATACCCTTTAGACCACAACACGGCGGTGCAGAAGTGCATATAAGGAGTATGAAAAACAATTGCGAAACCTGTCATTTAAATAGGAATTGGAAATACATAGCTCTATGTTTACAGTGACTCGTAGATTTATAGATCAGTAGAAAATGACCTAAAATATTTTTATATGTATGTGCGTGTTTGTGTGTGTGACAACTATACACATGGTTTCAGAACTTGTGCCCAGCGCCAGCGAGGTACAGACCGGTACCGGCTCCACAACCTGGAGGCGGTAAACAAATGATTTGCTATTCCGAAAAGGTAATTAAATATTTGATTAGCATATTGATCAGATATCAAAAGAGAAATGGTTTTTACTTATTCTAATGAAGTAACAAACGATCTGATAGTAAGTGACTTTTGCAGCGCTCGGATACTTACAACCATTTTCAAACTAGTACCAAGGCAGCAGATTTCTATACGTGGTAGAGCCATGCTGCAGTTATATTAGTAGTATAGTTGTAGCACGAACGGGTCGGCTCGACCGGGGAAGGACCACGCTCTCACAGAACACCAACGTAAAATAGTAGCTTAATGCTGCTGTGTTTCGTATGGTGAGTGTAGAGAACCGGTGACCCTTTTTACTGGCCCTTAGACGAGGCATTCCATCTTAGTCCTCACGGCTGACAAGGCATCTGCATTTTGATTTGTAATCGAGGATAGATGTAGATATCTATGGGCCACAGCAACCACTTACCATCAGATGGACTGTGTGCTCGTTTGTCACCCTATCCTATAAAAAATATTGAACGTTGTCACCCCTGAAGACGAAGATGGAATGCCTTATAGCGTGTAGTTTTACTGGCTTTATATAACCTTCAGATCGGATGGTAAAACAAGGTAAGGACGGTGGTATTTGCCCACACGGGCTCCTAGGCTAAAATGAAATACTACCAGCTAGTAAATGATTATAACGATACTTCTTAACAAAAGTTTAACATCTACATGGTCATAAGCTTTATAGCTCATCTAAAACTCCACTACTGAATATAGCTTGGACTTTAGATTAACACAAATACCTTATGCAGCTAGAATCTTGCATCTATCAACTCCATACGATAAGTTGGAGTGACGGTCAATATCTCATTGAACTACAATTTAACGCCTTACACAGCTTAGGCTGAGCTTACTTATGGTACGGGTCTGTCCGTCATTATACAACAACAATATTATACAGCTTATCGCCTTACGCAGCGCGCTTACTGGTTTCACGAGTCTGCATTGCCACTAACAAACCATCCTGTTCCCCTGCAACGGACGTTGGTTCTATAAAATGCATCGTTCCCTTTCGTTTTTTATTTTGTTCGACTGCGGATATGTTGGAGACTGTTTAGTCGCACGGAGAAAAGACGTTAAGGGAATGTAATGCGTGAATTTTAAATAGATGTATCTTGCAGCAAAGCATTGTGCAACATTTAATTTAAATAATTTCAAAAATATATTTAAGAAAAAAGATATATAATAAGGCAACAGATATTTAAAATTTGAGACACCCAATCCCTCGCAAACGTCCTGAATATAATTTTTGAAAATAATTAGGTAATAAAAAATCATTTCGCACTAACCAACACCAAGAAAGAAAGTGAAAGTAAATAAAGGTTAAAAAAGTTAGTTTTGAGTTTGTTAATAACTTATTAAGATTACTAAAAATGTAGGTACGTACAGCCATCTTGTGAACATAAAAGGAAATTAAAAATTTGTAAAACTCGTGATGATATTTAGTCTGCGCGGAAAGAAAATGAAAAGTAGTTTATTGTAAATTGATGCTAGAATGTATTGAAATAAGTACGAAATAAAAAAACAAAACAGCTAAGCATACCTTGGTAAATATTTTTCATTTATTGCATTATAATGTTGTTTTTGAATATTTATAGCCGCTGTATTTAAATTAAATAAAATCTACAAGGTAAAGGAGCACCCTCACACTCTATGATCGTTCCTTTTCGCATTTGCTCTTATTTTTTTATAATAATATATTTTTTATATAAAAAAAAGAAAAATGCATTTTTTATGGAATAGAATGACAAACGAGCACACAGTCCACGTGATGGTAAACGGATGCTCTGGCCCATAGACATCTATCCTCGATTAAGAATCAAAATGTAGATGCGTTGTCACCCGTGAGGACTAAGATGGAATGCCTCGTTTCAAGTTAAAAAGGTATCCGGTTCTCTACACTAATCATACTAAATACAGCAGTTCAATACTGCTGTATTTAGTATGCTGCTATTTGACGCTGGTGTTCTGTGAGAGTGTCGTCCTACCCCGGAAGAGCCGACCCATTCGTGCTACAACTATAATATAGTATAGATGGTAGAGCCAGCGTGGCAAATAATTGAATTAAAACATTAAATAATGGTATTAAAATTGTCATAATAACAAATTTCGTTATATTTTTGATAATTGTGCGGGATGGTCTGAAAAGTTTCCGACCTAACAAAGATACAAGATTTTTTTTAATTTATTTTTAGTTTTTCTACATAGTCTCCTTGTAATTCTACACATACACTTCTCCCAGCGATGCTGCTATCTCTCTAATCCGCCTAAATAGTACTCGGCGTTTTTCTCTGCAAAATGATCATTAACGAAGGTGATTGCCTCCTCATTTGATGAAAATCTCTGTCCTCCGAGCGTAATTTTTATATTAGATAACAAAAAGAAGTCGCTTAGGGCTAGATCTGCTAAATCCGCCTTAGACGGTCAAGCAGTTAAACCGTTATTTGTGGGTTTCGTCATGGCAACCGCTAAAGTGCAAGACGGTGCGTTGTCATGGTGAAACAGGATTTTCTTTTTCTGCAAATCTTGCCGTTTTACCGCAATTTCTGCCTTCAGTGTGTCTAGTAATGTAGCATAGTATGCTCCTATAATGTTTTTTTGTTTTTGAAAATAGTTGCTTACTCCGTGACATCGAATTCCATGACTATCCCAAAAACGGTCGCCATCACTTTCCCAGCCGAAAAACAGTTATTGCATTTTTTGGATTTGGAGCTCTTTGCAGTCAAATGTTTTGATTATATTGTCTTTCGGGTTTGTGTAATGCTGCCCTTCTTATGAAGAGTGCAATAACTTGATTTTGGCTACTTTCGAGATAATCGCAATTAAAGATTTAATTCTTGTTTCGTGTGTATCTTCGTAACTATGATAGCTATTTACTTGAAACTTTTACTATACGACAGATAAAATGATGCAGAATTCTTTGAAGTATATTATATTTGTACATACATATATATATAGACATTAAAACAGAATAAGTATTTATCTTTAGGACTGTTAATTGCTTTGATAGAGCGTGACTAAACATAATCGCAATAAGTAGACTACTTATTGCAGTTATCGTTAGTAAGCCGACTAATTGCTCTTTTGAGTAGCATACACTGTATGTCCTGTAGTTTCTTTCCAACCATTAGTGCAACAAAATGTGTGTGTGTGTAAAGTATTTTAATCAGACACATTCCTAGGATACAAAATATATATGTTATACTTAATCTACTAAAGCAGATTATGAGATTAATCAATAAATCAATCTTAATCTTAAGTAAAAAGTCAATCTTAAGTAACTTAAATCTCAACATAAAAAAAATTGGAATCTGAGTTTAATATATGTTTGACATGTCTGAGTTTAATGTATCATTGTAAAATTTAATTCACTGGGTAAATAAAACTTATTTGGTGCATTTTCGCGGCGATAATGTAATATTGTTGGATTGAAACTTTGAATATGTTCTTTAGTTATGTTTTAGTCTAATGAATTTTTACGTTCAAAGCTTTCTCGTTTGTTTTTTTTTTGATCATTAACTTCCTTACTTTAGCTTATATCCGAGTGTTGTCAGAAAGATAACCTGACAAACTTCACATTTTCACAAGAAATATTTCTTTCTTTGGCTGTAATACCGTCCGTATTTGTTAGGGTTTTTACGGTATATGGTTCAACCGTGCCTTTTATAAACAAACCTCTTGACTCCCAACTTAAATTTATCTACCGATCGTGGATATATTTTAGAATTTTTTTCGTTACTTAATATTTTAGTTTAAACTTTGTCATACACTTTTTTCTGCATTTCACATGGTAGTAATAATGCGAACTGCATCAGCGTTTTCTTTCCTCTGTTAGGTGTGTTGTTTCAATGGAATATTAAAAGCACGACTTTTCCTTGCTAGTGCTAATTTTGTTACTCCTTTTTGATTTGTAGGTAATGTTGATGGTGACTTTACTTGAGTTGCATAAATCGAACAGAAAGAAAGGGCTTTCTGTTCGTTTTACGCATCTTCAATTTAATTTTATAGGCCATCATTGACATATTCCCCTCCTTTCCTTTTTTCGTTTTATGTACTTGCTGATGTAGCAATTAATCATCTTTAAGTTCAACTCAGGTCAAGAGCCGTGGTAGCTCAAACAAATGGTTAGCGCTCGCTGTAAATTTATATCCCACCAAAAACATTCTGTAAAAAACTAGCCAAGTCTCGATGGAGCTGCTTGTTTATCTCTAAAAAGTAATGAAATCTAGACAAAGTCGTGCCAAGTCTAAGCTTCCTTACTGCGATTTCTTTATTATTATAGTTAATGTTGTGTGACTTGGCCGTTGAAGGGTACACAAGGGTACAAAATCAGGTGCTACATGACACCCTTGCACCAATCTGTCGCCAGAACCGCTATCCATTGACGATGGAAAATTGCCATTTGGAAAACGTTGATTGAATAACCAGTCAATTGTAGGCGTCAAATCGACCACCGATCTAACATAAAATAGACGTACAGACGGACTTCTATCAATGATTCGAAGTCCGCCTGTACTGGAAATAATTTTTTATACTGTTTGTTTCAGGCTCGCCTATACAAAAGTATTATTGAAATACGCAGCTTTATCAAGCCTACAATTGACTGGTTATTCAATCAACGTTTTCCAAGTGGCAATTTTCTATCGTCAATGGGTAGCGGTTCTGGCGACAGATTGATGCAAGGGTGTCGTGTAGTACTTGGTTTTGTACCCTTGTGTACCCTTCAACGGCCAAGTCACACAACATTAACTATAATAATAAAGAAATCGCAGTAAGGAAGCTTACACTTGGCACGACTTTGTCTAGATTTCATTACTTTTTAGAGATAAGCAAGCAGCTCCATCGAGACTTGGCTAGTTTTTTACAGAATGTTTTTGGTGGGATTTCACTTCTTTTTGTAGAAACGTGGGCACATTGATTTATTTTATTAGATTTTCTTATTCGACACATTCTTTTTTCTTTTTAGGAGTAATTTTTTTATTATTCCAAATCTTTCTTTTCTTTTTTTTCCGGTTCTGATTCTTGTACAGTAGTAACAGTTTTTCGTATTGCCCATTCGCGTTCATTATTTATTCTTTTAGACGGTTTAGACGGTTTAAAATCTGAAAGATCGGCGCGGTATTTACGCCTAAGCCGGTTGTATTCGGTGATCGCTGAAGCTTGAGCTTTTATACTCTTGAAGTCAACATTTATGAGGTGCATCCCATGAAGATTGGTTACTCGTGAAAGCGCCACGTAGGCTTGGCCATAAGTGAATATGGAGGCGCATTTGTCCATGAGGGCATTTTTTAGACTTAGACCTTGGCTCTTGTGAATTGTTAGGGCATACGCCACACAGATTGGGAATTGTTCCCTGTACACGTATGCCCGGGGTATGATCTCAAATTTTGACTTAATAGGCAATGGGTGCGTTTGGCAGAAAAAAGCGCTAGCAAGCGCTTATAAGCGCTGAAATAGTTTTCGGCCAGGACACGATTGCTACTTCAGTAGCGCTGACACAATCCGCCATTTTGCTTATTTAATTTGTTTGTTTTGAAGTGGAGTTTATAAGTTATTTTGTGCAATATTAGTTTTAAGTAATATAATGACATGAATAAACATATACATGTTATTAAAAATTCATGATTGGTAAGTTTTTAATATGAATACTTTACAAACATATATTTAAATTAAGTTAGGTTCCCCGGTTAAAACTAACATCGTGTCCTGGAGGAAAATAGCTACTTACGATTTGACAGCGCTTACCGCTTACGATCGCCATTTTGCTTACAAGCGCTTGCTAGCGCTTTTTTCTGCCAAACGCACCCAATAATTCGTGAATCAAATTATTAGCGAATTTTACTACCAATTGTTTAGGCTTTGTTTGGTCTTCCGGGTCCCACCTCACTTTTTGTACAACGCCTAATGACCCATTCACTAAACCTAAACGAACATCAATATTTATCCTAAGCATTACTTTAGCTCCCTCGTTAATGATTATAGTTTCTTCCAGTCCAGCAGTCATCGACGCATCATCTTCATATTTTTGTAAACACGCCCGGGCTTTCGTTATCATACATTTTGAACAATCCAAGGAATCTTTAGCAACTAACTTTATCTCGGGGTGCGGAATCGCTTTTAACATAGCATTATTTAACTGCATACACATATTTCTAGTCGGTAGTAAACAAAGAGTATCTTCTGGTAAGTCTAGTGTAATTGTTGTTTATTTAACCTTTCTCTTACTGCGCCCGCCGTAACAAAAATCAGCTTTGTCACCTCAGCTGGCGGCACTTGTTATAAACATTTATGTTTCTCACTTATGTTTAAAGAGGTTTTTGTTACAGTTATTTAAAGCCGATAAGATTTTCGATAAGTAGAAACAATAACCATAACATTTAAATGTTTATTTTATTTTGTACAGCTCTTTGTTTCTAACGGATCTTGATAAAGTGTACTTACTGACAACAAATTTTATTTTATGAATGAAATATCATAAGTTTTTATTTTATTTTATGTCCTTACAATCAATACAACATATTCTTCCTAAATGAACCGAAATTATGCATGTAATAATTATAATAATTCTACTTTTTAACTTGCAAACATTTGCCAAAAATTCGACAATAGACAGTTTGCGCGCGCTTTGTAACCTCATTTTCAAAACCTTTTTGTGTATATATTATAGCGTCTTCCTTTATTTTTCTTATACAATCAAAAATAAAAGTATTTACTATGGTATTCGAATAAGAAATATACTATTATTATCTTATTAGAAATCTTGACCGTTATGAATTTTTCGCGTAGAGGTTTTTTGATTCTACTTTTTTATCAATTGAAACATAAATAGTTACTGTTGTTGTAACTTAGATGATTCAAAAACATTACGTAGTAAAGATAAATAACATTACTTACAGTTTTTTGAAAGAAAATCCAACTAAAATCACAATCACATAACTTGCATTCGCTAGCTTTTATTGACGAGTGCTGCAATCTTCACGTTGAGGTCAGAAACTTTTCAGACTGCCCTGGTACTATTTTTACTATATTAAATATTGAAAACTAATTGATCTCCGTCCAGGTGGCCGCGCCACTCTACCAACCTGCTCCCGGGTCGCCATCCAGAGCCGTTAGAGGAGCTCCCGAAGGAGCAGCAACTGGAGGACAAGCTCCTGCAGCTTCTTCGCCAATGGCGCCACCTCCAAATCCAGTTTATTATGCAATGAACGTCTGACGAGGAGACTAGGTAATCTCTTTTCAACTACCTATTGCATAAATTAACCCGTTCCATAAATTACATATGATCATTTCGATTGTTTAACTATAATTGTGTCTGCTTCGCGGACAGGAAATCTGTTAAAAAATATCACTCAATATAATTAAAGCAAAACCCATTTCCACATTTTATTTTAACAGCATTATATACAAAATTAGATTGCCGTTAATTCTTTTTTTTAACTTTGTCCTACCTATAATTTGCTTAATTTTAATTATCAGTACTGCTAAGCTTTAACAATGGTATAAAAAATTGAGTGAAAAACCTATATAAATATTAAATAATAGTATATTAGATCTTACAATATTCATAAGTAACTTAATATTAAACTATAGGCTGGTAAGTTGTTTCACAAGCAGTTAGCATGGTTGTCGCCGAAAGCGCACATGCTAACTGCTTGCATCGTGATTTTGTAAAACCGCACCTACTTAGTTTAAAATTGATTATATAATTTTTATAGTCCACACTTAAATACATAAAATATATAAATATAATAATTTGAGGATAATGAAATATAATGGTCATAAATCATAAATTTCATGGTGTGCAATTTTTATTTTACAGGTGAAAATCATGGTAGGTCCGACCGGTGAAATAAGCATCAGCGTACAGCCGCCGCGCAGTCAATAGACCCAGCACAGTAGCTGCTATAAATTATACATAACATTCGAAAGCATCCGTCATTGTGTGATAATATAATAAACATAATAACAAAAAAAGCAATCGAAGCATTTCTACAATATACGGATCTGAAATAAACTGACTATTAATAGTGAATTATTCGACGAAACCGATGATAGACTTCGTAAATGCTTCATTTAATAATGTTATTAAACGAAAAATAATGTTATTAATTACGCGTAGTTAAACATAGGCCAACATGGTCTGTCATACAAATTGATTAAAGAATTGTTTTTATTTTACCACCCAACTACTGATTTCCAAAGATTAGTTGTTAAGTTCATTAGCGTACGGGTATAGCGAAAGATAGCCGCTAACAAAATTATACTGTAATTTTCTTGTTAACTTTTGGTTCACCTTTTCTTATAGTATAATAAAACCATCAAAAATTGTTTTATCGGATTGCAGACAATAACATGTATTTATTTATTAAAATTATTAAGTTATTACTCCGAATTAAATGGAACAAAATATTTGCTATAAATTCAAGCGATCTAATGCTTCCTTTTATATTATATACGAGTGCTGCCATATATAGCTGGTATTGACGTGAAAGTAGTCTTGACTCGATAGGCCTAAGAAATTACTTTTAAACCAACGGTTGCACTTTGTTTATTAATTCAAACGCTAGTGCCAAAACGTTTAAAGCGGTATTATGGACTTACCGGTATTAGCCATTAACATAAGTTAGAAAATAATGCATACATAACATTTTTCCAAAGCCGGCCTAGGTAGGATTCATTTTATCGTATATTTATAATTACGATTAGATAAGTAACAAACTAACATTTAAATTTTAAATCGTCTATTCCAACAAGAATGCTTTGATTTATGCGTTTGAAAATTTGTTTTGACAATAAAATTATATGTTTCGCCTGAAATTAATAGGTTTTGACTCTAGGTGTTGTTGAGTTCAAATTAAATAAGCTTGCGAGTATAATTAATATCATTTATATACCACAAGTAAGTGATATTTCGATGTAACTCGTTTATAAACATAATAAACAAGTCATCAAAACGAAACGTTATCGCACAATTGTTAGACCAAATGGGAGACCAAATTTCAACCTCATTCGAAAATATTATATAAAAATATTTTTGAGATTTCATCGCGTGTACCATGTTAAATAACTCGCCTTTTTTCATAACAGGCATTATTATACATTTTTACAGTGTTACCATCATTATTATATAATTACAGTTTATAGTGATCATGGAATGAGTTCGTTATCATGGTATCGCAATAGTGTACCTTGTGCCTGATCATAGGACAAATAGCAGACCATTTTATCTCTTGCGGGTAGGCAAGCAGTAGACATAATAAACTAGATCATTTATAAGAATATATATTTGAGTAAACCGTTTAAAAAGAATCCCTTTAGGTTTTATATTTTCAATATATGGTGCGAGAAAATTTATATTATATCTAAATGTACCTATTATGTAATATGCATTAGTTATGGAATATGCATTAATTTTGGAATTTTCCATTTGATAGTAATGATATTACATCGTTAATCCTGCTCATTGCTTAAAATGTACAACCAGAATATAAAAATTATATTAATTAAAACCTCTCATAAAGAGGAGTCAGAGAAGTCCAGCAGTGGTGAGGCTAGTCAAGAACAAGATAAGTAAACCAAAGAGTTTGGTCTGTGGTAAACCAATTGTAACAGGCGAGAAATAAATATTCTTTAAAAAATAGTAAAGTTTTCTTTGAATTTCTAAATAAAGCTGTTATTCGTTTAAATACAAACTAAGTAGAAAGCAATAAGAGTGATTACTATACTAATTTGAGAACGATATTGTAGGGGATAATTATAAAGGGCGATATGGAACAAAAACTGTATTAATATACAAAGAAAATAGTGTCATGCATTATATATAAGGAAACAAACTTATTTAGTAAGCATTTAGTGGGGTACGAACAATGTAGATAATGTCAGCAATCTAATTGGAACAATGTCTTGTGTTGTATCTCCTCTTACTATATTCGAAACTGTCAGAGTTAATCTGTCTTTGCTGTAATTGATGTTGCCATGCTTCATCAATAGATTATTAATATAGGTATACTATTTTAGACTTCTTCCTTGCTACTTGTTTCTTCCAAAGTGACGTTTTAAACGTGAAAATTAAGTTTGGACTAAGATTTTGGACACATTTAATAGACTGTGTAGTCATTAATAAATATCCTTTTAATTAGTTATTTAACCAAATCAAAAAAGAGTAATAATCGTCATTGTGACCATTATAGTTATTTGTATTAATTATTTTGTGTAGAAGATGTTTAAAATTATATAAAATAAATATGAAAAAAAAATTCTTTAAATGTAATTTGTAGTATAATAAGTAAACGTATTAAAAAATCGGTGATATTAATATTTCAGTTTTAGAATGTGATATTATTTTTTATTTTCTGCTTAGCAGTTTATTTATAATAATACCTACTGCTTAGATGATCATATGACATGTATACATGTATATCGTCTAAAACTTATATTTGAACTAAAGCGTCTAAGGTGTTCGTTATTTCCGCCAGGCTTGTAATGTGTTTTACAAAAATTATAAAGTTATTTATTATTAAATAATATAAGTAATGCACAGTATGTGGATATATGTCATAGTTTGTTTTTCTTGATATTATAATAATTTATATCGAAAGAGTAGAACTTTATTATCGTTGTTTTGTTTTATTATTTTATTATTGTAATACAACATGTTATTCAGCTACAAACTTATTCATCCCTACTATTAATATGTATCAATTTCAATCAGAAAACACAGGTTTTTAATATTCGGCGAAAATACATTGTAACTTTGTATTTTAATTAAGAAAACTGTTGTGAGTAGTCATTACATAGATGTAGAAATCTTTTTCATAAATTGTAAAAAGCAAAGTCAAATTTGAAATATATATAGCTTAATATCATACAATGTACCGACTCCATTTGAAACTTTTCCATTCAAATAATATGTTTAGCATTTCAGTGATGTTAAGCGTCTTTAATTGTAAATGGGTATTGTCCATTAAAACTTGTAACTTTCAAAAAGTTTAGTATTTGAATTAATTTACACGTTGACTATATTTTGGATGTCCAAAACTACAATAGTCTTTTCTAAAGCGAAATTTGAAATAAAAACGACTTTCTCGATATGGTGTCAATGTTGCATACCCAGATTAACATAGAAAGATAAACGGAGCGCTGCGTACATTTTAATTGATGACGAATCATGCTCAATTTCTTGACGCAGCGTGACTACGTCACGGTAATTTTATCTATAAAATTACCGTGACGTAACGCACTTACTTTCGCACAGCTTGCTGTCAGGCCGTAAAACTTCACTGCTATAATTTGCATACATCATGGGTATGTTCCGAAACGTTTTCAGTATACTGCCGAATACAAATTACGTCATCAATTGACAATATATTGTACTGGCGTGCCGCCGCCATATTGTGCCGGATATCCGGCCATAATAAAACAATTTTTAATTGTGTGTGCGCTGAATGAAGCATGCCAGAATTTGTTTTTATTTATTCACATACAAAAAATTATGGAATAATTGCTGGTATCTCCATTAGGAGGATATAATGATTTTTGGAGACAAAATGACAAAATAATCGAACACTTTTCCAATATGGCGCAAATGTATGACGTCATATACTGTCCTATGTTTTGGAACGAATCATCAGTATAGCGTCGATTCATGACGTCAATTGCATTGGACAGTACACTGGGTTCTATTTTGGAACATACCCCATATGCGCACCAAAAACTATGTTATTGGTAGCAAATTATTTCAGATTTAAGGGTTTAGCTACGTGTGTGCGTGTTGGCTTGGTTATTGTGTATCTTGAAATGAACACAGCGCTTCAACTTTTTTGTTTGTTGGTCCGTTTCATACCAATATTTTTCACATAAAATGTAAGAACTTTTTTACCAATAATTTTTTTAACCTTTGGTAAAATATCAGTAGTTCAATCTCTATTAGTAATTGAATAAAAATGTTAGTTATATCATGCTGACAAGAGTAATTATTAATTTAAAGCATATAGTTTTTATAGTCATTGATTGAGTATTTTATAACGAGCATGTAACAGTACTAAGTGAGCTTCAATGTTACCACATAAAAAATCCTATATGCCTTCTCCACATGTTAAATTAAGCCATCAATCAGCAGAGGCAAAAACTCTACAAATACGACTTTTTGTTTTGTTTAAAATTAATTATTGAATAATGTTAGTCTTTGATCTAATTAAAATTTATAAATCTAAA